TTGTATCATCAATTTATTGAAATATTCTAAAATAGTACAATTTGTTGACTAGAATAAAGATTGGGACATACTATTCAGTTACAACAAGAGTGGTATTGAGCCTTTAACCTATTTTTCAAAGTAGGGGTCGAGACTGGCGCAGGAAGGAGGGCCTATATAACCAGCACACGTGTCTAGTCGTTCGGATGGGACGAAAAGCGACTTCCCGTGTATACATTGGAGTGTACGTAAAAGATCCCTTGGCAGATGGAATTCGATATAAGAGTAGGCCATAGTGTCGCTGCCCCAGCAAAATTCCCCTCATGGCACAATATGCCCGTTTTCATTAACTCGGTGGAAGCAAAACAGTAGGACGTTAAACCTCATTTCATTTTTTCAAATATAAATATAACAGAAAATTATTTAAATATTTGAAAAGAGTAATGAACATGCTTTTTAGTGATAATTAACATGATATCTGGAATTCGAATTAAGACAGGTATGTTTACTTTTTAAAAAAAAAACCTTGTCAGTGATGCAGGAGGGTCTGACAAGTAGGCCTACAACTGTCTTGTCGTTCGGATGGGACGAATAAACGAGGTCCCGTGTACACATTAGCGTGCACGTAAAAGGTCCCTTGGCAGTATACAGTTGTCCGGGCACATTTTCCCTCATAGCACACTGCATGGCGTATGCCCGTTTTCATTAGCCCATTCAGAGCAGAACCGTAGAACGTTAAACCCCATTTAATTTCATTTCATTGATTGTTTCCCCTTCTACTGACAAGATCGATCGCGTAAATTATTAATTTCCGTCCTAGTCCGGACTCTGTTTCCGTAAGCAAATGAGCTTCGTCCTAGATCCCATATAAGGTATATGTTCTAATATGCTAAGTTCTATTATGCATTTGTCTATTATGCAAAATGGAGAATGGAGAAGTGTAATGTGCAAAATAATTATTATATTGTATTTTGTATTATTGAAAAGTGTATTCTATAAAACATTGTGACATTGGTATTGCGGAGCAATGGAAATTGCAAATTGTAAAACTAAAATACGTATTCTGAACTGCTGGCATATGCATTTTGCACCGTGAACATTGAAATAATAATGGCAATGTTATCCTTCCATACATTACTACTGAAAGTTAGTAAACAGGCAGATAAGCAAAGATAATCACGTTATGGCAGCTTGTGGTCTAATTGAAATGCCATATTGTTGTTCCATTGAGTCTTTAATAAGTCCGTATTTGTTTGATTGTTATTTATGACGATACAGGGGACCCTCAATAAGATAAAAGCGTGTGCTTCAGAGTTCTTTATCGCCATTGATTACCCAAATACCATTAAATATTCTATAAACGACTCAATAAGCAAGGGCAAAGACAACATAATTATGTATGAGGTAATTATCGAGACTTAAAGAAGAATGCTCGCTGCTGTAAACAAATATTTTATCAGTTGGTTCAAAATATGAGTAAGTAATGTGCCTTCTATGTCATTGATAGTTGTTATTCGCAGAAATTTGGGTGGATTAAAGGGACAATAACACTCTTGCTGGCTTGACAGCTCCAGAAAATAAAAAAAATAGCCTTATTCTAAGTACTAGATGTGTTAGTGTCCTACCTGTTGTGTAAATTTTCCATTAAATCCTATTTTACTTGAAAAGAGGGTTCAAAAATATTTTTAAATCCAAGTCACATTTGAAAAGCTTTACGTCAGGCTTTTCAAATGATATAGTTGAATTTTTCCAATTTTTTAAATTAGGTGTGTTAAGATGAAATTTGTATCATCAATTGATTGGAATATTGTAAAATAATACAATTTGTTGACCAGAATAATGATTGGGACATATTATTCAGTTACAACAAGAGTGGTATTGAGCCTTTAAAACCAAGGTGTTAACACGTAATATCGAGAATGCATGTCATCCGCCGTTATTTTTACCAACTGGTCCCATTTCACAATTGACTTTAATCTTAATTTTTGCCTCTTTGTTCCAAAATTTTCGTGGGTTTAACGAAATGTGGTAACGCCTTGTTCAAAAGCACGTTCCAGAGGTTCACCATGGAAACAGTATACTAGTAGCATCTAGTATGTAATCATGTAACTATCAGAAAGTTTGAAGTCGATTTCCTTGCATCGGAGGCTATTTCCGAAGGACAGTTACTCTTAGGCTCTCTCTGTCTGTATAGGCTCCGCAAGAGCAAGGTGTGGTGTGGTGTGATGTGGCCCATTCCTCGGCACATGAATTATAGCAAGACGATGAGTGACAAGCGGTGAGGAGTATGTGTGAATATATAAAGTGTGGCCCCTTGGTGATTTGCATATACATGTATATAGAAATATATAGATATAAGGGCCCCACATAGATCGACGTGTGAACCCTTTATAGATCGCTGCCCCCCCTCCCCGCGCCGCTAGTTACGCTACTGTGTAGGCCTATAACCCCAGGCTAGTCCATTCAATGTCCTAATCTGTTGAAGTCAGGATATAGGGAAACCGCCCTTTCTATATCTATTAGCTTGTGTCATGACACAATTAATTGTATTATAATTCACAGAGATGACAGGACGTTAAATGTTCTGGCAATCAATTTACAAACGATTCTTTCCATTACAGAAGACGCTTCTGGAAACCAGGTGTGAAGATTGAAATGAAATAGGGTTTAACGTCCTACTGTTCTGCTCCGACTGGGCTAATGTAGACGGAATGCTCCGCCTGGGCTAATAAGACCAGGCATGCGCCATACAGTGTGTTGTGAGGGTAATGTTGCCCGGACAGCGGCACTACGGCCTACTTTTATATCGAATTCCAACCGCCAAAGGATCTTCAATGTATACACGGGACCTCTGTATTTCGTTCCATCTGAACGCCTATACGTTTCCCCTTGCCCGACCCTCTGTCCTTCACCAATGACAAGAGGGAAACACGCCGGAATATCCAGATGAACTTTCTCGACCAATGCATGGATCGAACACTTGACCTCCAGGTTAGCAAGACAACGTGTTACCAACTTAGCCATCGTGAACCCCTTGAAGATTGAATCATGTACATGTAATAAACATTATTATGTATCGAATAATACACATATCTTTCGTCGAGTTTCGACCCTTCTGAAAGCCAGGCTAGATAAGATGATGCCACGGGCTGGGTGGGAATTCAACACAATAGAAATTATATTAAAATTTACTTAGGTGATAATTATAAATCACTCGGGTGAATCTTATTTATAAAATATAAAATAAATAAAAAATGGTTCGGGTGGGAATTAAAATACGGTGGCTGATAAGGGACATGAAAAATAATATCGTTTTTGGGTTGTTTTTTTTTTTTAATATTCATCCAAGTCAATTTTAATATAATATTTTAATTTTCACCCAAGTCATTTGTAATATAATTTGTTGTTTTTATAATTTCCACCCAAGTCAATTTTAATATAATTTGTCAGTGATGCAGGATGGAGGGCCTGACAAGGACAGCTGTCTAGTCGTTCGGATGGGACCAAAAACCGAGGTCCCGTGTACACATTGGCGTGCACGTAAAAGATCCGTTGGCAGTTGGAATTCGATATAAGAGTAGGCCGTAGTGCCGCTGTCCGGGCAAAATTTCCCTCATAGCACACTGTATGGCGTATGCCCGTCTTCATTAGCCCAGTTTAGGAGCAGAACAGTAGGACGTTAAACCCCATTTCATTTTCATTTTCTTGTGAAAATTCAAGAAAATAAATTAAATTAAAAATTACTTGGGTGAAAATTACTCGGGTGAAAATTAGAAAATACAAGCCGACAGTGAGGCTGATGTCCCCCGCCGAAATCCCGAAATAATAAATGACACATATATTATTAAATCGCACATTTATTTTTTTTCAAAAGTATCGAGAAGTCAAACTGATTATCAACTCTCTATCAGATAGAATCAAAGTTATCTTGTCCCAAACCATCGACCAATGAAATTGCTCAGCTCTGCTTAGCTTTAGCTCGAAATGTTAATCATTGAACTCAGTCAAGACATTCACCTAATGCACATCTACATCAAATTTAAACATTCTATCTCAATTCATTTCATTTTCAATTGTTATTTCCAAAGTCTTGACCAATCAAATTGCTTATCGCTCCTTAACCTAAGCAGAAGATTAATTCTCATCATCGAATTTAGTCAAGGTAATGATGTAACGAATCTCTACTCGGAGTTTCATCGCTCTCACTTAATTATAACCAAAGTTAACGTGCCCCAAAGCAGCAACCAAACAGATTGCTCATCTCTGCTTACCGTAAGCAGACAATGTTCACCAAGGCATTCGCCTAATGAACGCCTACACTAAATTTGAACTTTCTAGCTCAATTAGAAGAAGAGTTATTGTGTTCCAAAGTCTCGATAAATCAAATTGCTTATCGCTCTGCTTACCCTCAACAGTCATCACTCTCACTTAACCAATCAAATTGCTTATCTCTGCTTACCTTAAGCAGAAAATGTTCATCGTCGAACTCCATCAAGGTATTGACCTAATAAACACCTACGCCAAGTTTGAATATTCTAGCTCAATTAGAAGGAGAGTTATTGGGTCCCAAAAAGTGTGACGGACAGACGAATCGACGGAAAGACAGACAGACTGACGGACGAACTAATTATCGAAAACAAATTATATTAAATCTGACTAGGGTGAAAATTATAATTGACTTGGATGAAAATGACAAAAAAAACAAAAAAACAAATCATATTAAAATTGAATTGGGTGAAAATTAAAAAAAAATAAATGAAAACTATTTTTCATGACCATACAGACAGGACAACCAACTTTCTTTCGTCCAGTCCAAATACTGGTAATAGAAGTTGGTGATCTAACGCCTGCTTCCACAGTAGTGTTATTTAGTGGTTTTTTTTATACTCATGGTTTTGGATTAAGTATGGAAATCTACAGTAAACATTGGGGCGTCAGACTAGACAAACAAAATAGATTTCAGAAAGAAATTTTCTCTATTGATTACTTTGACTAAGGAAAGTAAATAATACATCGCGACATCTTACTTGTGTGTCTAGACATACTTGTTCTTGCATTATTTAGCGTTAACTTTGAAAAATAAAGAATGGTTTTATTCGTTCATCAGAAAGTTCATACTTCATTTTGCGCAGTATATGATAAGACCTGATAGGATCGCCACGATTACTCAAAGATTAAAACAAAGATTTCAGTCGTAGCACGACAAATAATAAATACATATTAATATTCTACTGTGATGCTCGTGGTTGTTCCCCATTACAATTTTGTTCTGGTTTGATATGAATAGCATTTGATTTTTTGGCGATGGGTGGTAGCACTGTATAACTGCGAAGTTTACAAGCAGTAAACTTGGATAATCCTACTTGGCCCTTTTGCTTGATATCGTCTTTCTCATTTCTCATACAGAATTTCTGTTGAAAGTTTTCACAGCCCCTGTCATCCTTATGACCTCTGAATGTGTTTTCTCGTGTACAATGTCCAGAGTAGTTTCCTTTCGTTTCGGTTACGTGGGGTTTATAATCTCCCCTGGTACTGTTTCCAAACTTATTCTCAGTTTTATCTTCCTCGCCGGAGATAGAAATATTATTTTCATTTTCATAACGTCTAACTTCTTCCTTTGGGGGCTCTTTGTGACTTTCTGGTGTGTTACCTTTTGCCCGTTTCATCCAATTGATTTCATCCATGCAACTAGCAATACTGCCATATTCTTTATGAGAATAAGAATATTCACCACCCAATTGTCTATCTGAAGTACCCTTTCTAGCATCAATCTGCTTCATCATATAACCATTATCATGATTCAGTGTACCTGTGATAGAGCGGTCTTTTAAATGGGAATCGGCGCCGGATTCAATACGCGATAGGATTTCATTATAATATGTACTTTGTTGCGGTCGTGTTCTATTTTCCAGACGGCTAGCCTTGGTCTCCAAAATTTTATCTTTAAAGATGATCGCAGAATGATTTTCGCTACTGCTGTTATAAACAATGGAGTTTGATCTTTCGTCACCAAAATCATTCTTCTGTTCAAAATCCCCAGTACTTGTATTGTAACCATCTTTAAAACGAAGAACAAATCCAACATCTCCTAAGCTAAGCGTTTTGTCAACAACTCCTACACTATGTGATTTGTCAACAATATTTGAACTATGTTTTTTGTCGGTTACATCAGAACTAACTGTTTTGTCCACACAAACTGACCCAAGTGTAATGCCAGTGGCATCTGAACAAAGCTTTTTACACACTACATCTACATTAAGCGTTTTGCTTAGGCCATTAGAACTAGATTTACCGTCCATGCTCTCTAAGCTAAGTGTTTTGTTGGCGCAACGATAGCTAAGGGGAGGTCGACTAGTATTATGTAAACTACCTGTGCTACCAAAATTTGTAATGTTATTGTGAGTATCATGGCTTGGCGTCAGATCAGCATGAACTGTAGATGTATCTCCTCTATCAGCAAGGGAACTACATGTAAGTCTCTTACCACCAACATCTCCTACAGCACTACTTACACTTAATACGCTATCAACTTCACTTGATTTAAACTCACGTCCATATTTAATATTATCTTGCTCCAGATCCACTTTATTGCTATCGCCACCCGGAATTATTGCACTTTTCCCATCAAAACAAATATGTGTTTCGCTTGTTGTAAAGCTTTCATTGCTCAAATCAAATCGAGGTACGAAATCATAATCCCATTCGCAAAAAGGTGAATCGTGTAATTTCCTAGACTGTCGATTGCTATCGATGCCTTTTACCTGATCATTATCGGTGATTCTAAGAAGTTCACCAACTTTATCTAAGCTACAACATGAATCATCGGAACTAATCATACCTTCGGCATCAACGCTGGGATTTTCATTCCTTGAAGACAAGACAATCAAAGATTTTGACATCTCCCCTGTAGATGAACTTTCCGTCTCACGTATGAAGAAAGTTTCGCCTGGTTCTGATGTTTCATTTACTTCTGATTTTTCTCGTAACTGCTTAGCAAGGTCACAACCTTCTTGAATACTATCGTGGAGTTGGTCATCTAACTTGTGCATAATTTTCATATACATAGCTTGGTTCGACTCATGATCACTACCTTTTCTGCAAGAATACAAATGAGAATGACCCGGTTTTGGAATAGTAATAAATTTATTATGGTCGAATCAGAGTTTAATATTTGGGGATAATAAAGCCGAATAGTATAATACTATGAAACTCGAACTACAGTCTAATCGGGAAGGGGGTGGCCGAATGGTTAACTCGTGCGCGTTGGATCACAAGGTCTGTCATTGAGTCAGCGAATTATTGAAATAAAATTGAACCATGTGTTAGTTCCGAAATGACCTTGTTAATATCGAATGGGCGTTAAACTACCCGCCCCCCTTTTTCTCTCTCTCTCTCTCTCTCTCTTTCAACCTTGATTAAATGTTACTTAGCTACAACAGAACTGTTAGCTTATTTCTATTTACATTTAAATATACCGGGGTTTGTGTCATAGACAGAGGCTGTGTAGTTAAGGACATGCGCAAGTAATAAAATGCTCCAATAATATATTTCGATTTTATATGTCGATGTCAGAGCACGTCCGTGCTCTGGTGAGCGAAGAAGGTGCCCTGGGAAATAGAAATACGTGCTATCAGAAAGTTACAATTTGGGCAAAGAGTTTCGCCTGGTATCACTGAAGAGAGATCATCATTGTACCGAATTAATATGATTCGTTTGTTTGTCGCTATACGGCGCGTCAAACGTGTGACCAATCTCTTCCAGTCTCCTATAAAACAAAAGCTTCCTAGATTTTGCCTTTTATGTGTCGTAGACGAGCGATGTCTTTATTTCGAATTCCACTCTTCAGGAGGTAAACAATTTTAAAAAGTTTCTAATTTCCGCAGGATTATACTTACAGTTAGAGGTTATTATTCTCCAGTTGTGACCTCGTCGAGTTTCCGCAGATATGCACCAAATTGACGCTAGGGATCATATATATTTCAAACATTTCCAAAACCGGGTGGAGAAAACACCCCTGGACCCTACCTAGAATTAACGTTGTCAGAGGTACGTGCTCCGAGAAAATATCCTTGAAATAGGACAGCCAATGTGGCTTCATATTTCCCACAGTTCTTATCAACGTGAAACACCCGTAGAAAATGGAAGATCGGTATTACCTTTCCTCTATTTCAGTTCGTAACACTTGGATTTGTTGTTTCACTGTGTCTGTTTTCTGCTCACAAATATTTTGAAACACGTCCAAGAAGTCTTTGGAGTTGGAAATTCCTGTCGAAAAAAATAAGACAGTAACATTATAACAGGTTTTTAAAATTCTCGCAAGAAAGGCGATGTTTCAATTTGAACTCATACAGGGCTGACTTTATACAGGTATGGTATCGGAAGTTAAGGTGGTAGGGGTTGCCTTTTTTTAGGTAATCAAACAAAAAACAACAACATTTGTTTAAAATTCATTTGGCAATGGTTACCTGTATTAATAATTAAAGCTAGGTCGAAAGAGATCGACTAATTCGGCAAAAGATTACAGAGACAAGGCAATCAATGATTTCCTTTTGTTTTCGATATGGATTCTATATAGCCTACAGTCGTACCGGACTTGAACTTGTCAAAAGCGAAAATTATGTAAGATTAAAGATACATTATGTAAGATTTAGATAAAGGGCTAGCCATTCTTGCTATAATAGCTCAAAAATAGATAATGTAAAATGAAAACATTGAAAACTTCATTCAAATTACTTCATTCTGAGCCAAGTTATCACTGTTTGTAGTTTTGGCAAGATGTGTGCGTAGTGGTAACAAGGGCACTGGCATATTCGACACTTAGCCTCGCTTACCCATTTTTAAATTAAATTTTTAAATGGTGAATCGTTCTAATCTAGTTAAAATCTCGAGTAGCCTATCCGATACCTTCGAGAGTTGATTTGTTAATAAATGTCTAATTAATAGTTTATATAACATTTCAGGCCTAAAGAAAGACCCGCAAAGGGTAGATTAGCTCTTGCATGTATGTTTAAGTTTCAAAAATTGTATTTCTCTAGATTGCTAAGTGTTAAATTTTGAAAAATAAATTTAGTCAACAAGTGATGAATCGGGTCTAACAACAATACAAACGTATTAATTATGTGAATTTCCCAAGCCAATAATTTCAGCTTATACCCTACCCCTGAGGCCATGACGTCTCGTGCACGTGGTGTAAGGACATGGTTATCCATACATTTTAATGCAGCTATCGTTTGTATTTAATCGAAAAAAAAAATATATCACGATAGCTGCACCGGACTATGATAAACGATAAATGATGATTTCTTAGCTATTCACTGGAATGTATCTGGGACGACTTGAAGTAGGGCATACTGGCATAGCCCCCCCCCCCCTTAACTTTCGGGCAATCTGATATATCGGGCAGACGGATAAAATGAAAACAAAAATTATTAGTTCATCTAGTTGGCAAAATAAAGTGCCCGAAATATAATAAAACACCAATTTTACTTTTCTTTTAATTGAATACCACGAATTTGTATTGAATTGACTATGGATTCAAACATTTTGTCTGGAGTCACTCTACTTTTGTGCGACATTTCGGGCATCGATTATTATTTGTGAATGCAGCTGCAACCGTCTGATTGGATGGTTGGAATTCAGGTCGGCATTGAGTGGGATTTTGGTTACAAAACCATTGCACAACTTTAGAGTTGCTTAACTCACGGGCTAGAATAGCAAAAAAAACGCATTTGCGACGGTTACATTTTCAAAATTTTCTCCAGGAAGATGAGGCCCACATATAGGCTATATTGGACCACATTGAAGTTGCTGTATTTAAGGGCTGAAATAGCAGGAAAACGCGTTTGCGGCAGTTAAATTTTCAAAATTTTCTCACGCCGGTCCGTCTCCGCGAACTGTAAACGATTGATTGGTTGATTGAATTTTTTCGGGCATTTCACTTTCTGCCCCCTAATAGTCATCGAACCTGTACACCTATTGTACCTTTCTCTTGGATAGTCATATATCTGATAAACCTTTACAACTGCAACTCTTGCCTTACCCTGCACTGTAAGGGCCGCTTTGTCTTTCCGGGCTGGATATACAGTTCATAGATTTAATTTCTTACCTTCAGCTTCGAGTTTAGGATCCACGGACATTTCCCCGTTTTGTGATTTACCAATGAATTTGGGCCTAGATGTAGCTTGATCAAAAAATTGATTCTATAAAAAGTTAAAGAGTTACAAAATGAAGTCTTCTGTCCCCATGCTTATAGACTTGCCATCCCTAGGTTACTGTTCTGACACAACTTTACTATGACGTCATAGATACATTTACCTTGATGTCAGACCAAATAAGGACAGATCTTGCCATTTTCCCAGACAAGAGACCTCGGAATTTTCAGTAACGGATGTTTGACCTCACGGATCAGATGCACTAGCACATGTCAGCCGTTCTGCAACAAGTAGGCCTTACCCGTCAAATAAAAAGTTTTCCCGAGTGATGCCTTTGATACGCCAAATGTCTACAAGTGATGAAAATACAATTTGATGATCAGGATTTAATCATTATAATTTAATTTGAATATATAAAAGTTTGCATTTGAATATTATATTGCTTGAAACGAATTAATTCAACTCTGCGTTCCAGTCTGATGCAGGGATGAATGTGCAATTTGGCATTGTTGAAGATTGGGTGTGGTGACTTGGTACAGTTTTTGAACAACAACGTGTTATTTGACATAGGCTACATTGCCGACACAATATGGCACGATCAGTGCGTGACGTATGGGGATCATATTTTATTAATAAGAAACCTTTATGAATTCCGACTATTCTGATCCATTGAATAATTGTGGGGTCTCCCCAAGTTGCATGTGGATATTAACAACAAATATATTTTAAGATAGGTTGCCAGGCAACAAAAAATACGCCCACAGCAGCTAAATCTATCGAAGCGGTCAACAAGGGTTGTCGCATATTTATTCTTTTGTAAGTAATTAGGGGCATTTAATAGACAATTTCATACAGATGACATTATAATTCTTGTCGTTCGAGGGTTCACAAGGTTATAAAAACTTATAAATTTCATACAGATCGGATGATAAGTTTTGTTGTTCGAACGTTCACAGGGTTCAACAAAGTAAAACAAGGGCCATAACTCTAGAAGTAATTGACGGAAATTGCTGAAATTAAATAGGTTTCTTTATTTCACTAATTTAAAGCCGGAATTTCATATTTTCTAAGAAAGTCAAAATATAATTATTTCTATGTCTTTTGCTCAATAGTTTATCAACTCACTATTATACGACCATGGGCATTATTCGCCACCCTTAAAAATCATTGACACAGGAAATAATAACACAATTACCTCCCTTGTTTTCCTATTGCCTCCATGCATTAGCTACCTTCAAACGTTGGAATTTGAAGTTGAAAATGATATTTTTGCCAATGTCTCAGCTGGCAATAGTGAATTATAGGATTATTCTTTAACAAGGTAGGACGGTTTATGGATACCATCTATTTTAAGGCTTTATTTTAATAAATTTTAAAAATAAAACTTAAAAATATGAAATTGTAGCTTTAAATGATGCATATGAATTTCATACAGATTGGGTGATAACTTTTGTCGTTCGAGTGTTCACAAGATTCAACAAAGTGAAACAAGGGCCATAACTCTAGATGTAATTAACAAAATTGCTGAAATTCAATAGGCTTTTTCGTTTCACTAATGTAAATGATCCATATAAATTTCATCCAGATTGGATGATAACTGTTGTCATTAGAGCACTCACAAGATTCAACAAAGTGAAACAAGGGCCATAACTTTTGGAGTTAGAGCGTTCACAAGAAATTGTGGACGAAGGCAATATACGTCCAAATTTCCATGTGGACGTATAAAAAAGAATTACACAATTTATGATAAATAGATTTTATTACTATAAAATATAAGCCCCTATTATAAAAATCCAAAAATAGATTATGGAAATTTGCTGAAATTCAATAGACCTGTTTCACAAATTTAAGGCTTGTTCATTTTACTAATTTAAATGATGCATATAAATTTCATACAGATCAGTTGATAACCTTTGTCGTTAGAGCATTCACAAGGTACAACAAAGTGAAACAAGGGCCATAAGTCTAGACATAATTAACAGAAATTGCTAAAATTCAATAGGCTTCTTCGTTTCACTAATTTAAATGATGCATAAAAATTTCATACAGATCGGATGATAACTGTTGTCATTAGAGCTCTCACAAGGGCCATAACTCTAGAAGTAATTGACGGAAATTGCTGAAATTCAATAGGTTTTATTATTTCACTAATTTAAATGATGCATATGAATTTCATACAGATTGGGTGATAACTTTTGTCGTTCGAGCGTTCACAAGATTCAACAAAGTGAAAAAAGGGCCATAACTCTAGATGTAATTAACGGAAATTTGCTGAAATTCAATAGACTCTGTTTCACAAAGTTAAGGATTGTTCATTTTACTAATTTAAACGATATATATAAATTTCATACAGATCGGTTGATAACTTTTGTCGTTATCATTCACAAGGTACAACAAAGTGAAACAAGGGCCATAACTCACGGCGTAATTAACAAAATTGCTGAAATTCAATAGGCTTTTTCGTTTCACTAATGTAAATGATCCATATAAATTTCATCCAGATTGGATGATAACTGTTGTCATTAGAGCACTCACAAGATTCAACAAAGTGAAACAAGGGCCATAACTTTTGGAGTTAGAGCGTTCACAAGAAATTGTGGACGAAGGCAATATACGTCCAAATTTCCATGTGGACGTATAAAAAAGAATTACACAATTTATGATAAATAGATTTTATTACTATAAAATATAAGCCCCTATTATAAAAATCCAAAAATAGATTATGGTTTAAAGAAAACAAAACAACAATAATAATAACGATAAACAAAACCACAATAAAACAAAAATAAAACGTTAGTGATGGGCTAACATATGTAGATAAAATCAAGCAATAAATTTATTTCTACATTTCCAATTCAAGAACATCAGAAAAAATAGAAATTAGAAATTTTCTAAAGACATATTGAGGGACTTCTCATATCTGTCCTTAATTTTACTCACACTTGTCAAGTTTACTGAATAAACCACCAACAAACAAATATATATACTGTTTATACTGTACCAACAATAATATGGCATTGGAAGTTATTTTTGCATTTTTTAATATTTCTTCATTAGTTTAAAAAACAAAGATATCAAAAGAAATACTTGTTTACACGGGCAAGATACGGATCGCAAATGTGAATCAAATAACTGGGAATTACCAAAATTTTGCTAGTATTCATGCCTTGAACTTTTTACCCTGGCAAGATATTGATAACTAAACCAATTTAGCTACTAATATTAATAATAATAATAAAAAAAAAAAAAAAAATTGTTTTTCAAGTATAAAATGAACCTTGAGTAACAAAACAACTTACAAATTTTACAAAACTACTGGTAAGCCTCTAACAAATTTATTCTTAAATAAATATGGTGAAAATAAACTATATAGCAGGATAGTAAAATATATTAATGTGTATTTTTCTTTCTCAATGAAACTGTACACAGGGAAATAATTCTTGTGAATGTGAATTTTCTTCCCACTGACAAATTCTGGAATGTCAATAAAAGTTATACAAAACTGTTTGCACATTGCAAATATCAATTTGTGTGCTCATAAATATTACAATGTTCTGAACATCGCAAATGTGAATCAAAATTCTGCTTCTATTCATTCACTGACCCATTTGGAAAATTTTGAAAATAAACTAACAAGGATATATAATCTCATTGAGGATACAAAACATTACTATGTAATAATATAATAATATTTCTACACATATTAAATATTGTGCAAAAAGGGTGTAATATAAATTCTATAAAGACAAAATTATTATAGTATTTTATTATAACAAATGTAAATACACAGTGTTTTAAAAACATGTCAGTAAACTATATAAAAAAACAAAACAATTTGATTTTTAGCACTTATTAATGCCAGTATGTGATAGTATTATAGTAAATCTAAAACATGATACAAATTATCAAAATTTTCTGATTTTACATTTAGCTCCTGAACAATAGAATAGTACCAAGATTTGGCAATTCTTTGTAGCAAGAATGAATTGGTATTTTCAGCAGACCTGGCTACAAGAACAAACCTAAAAACAATGACTTGTTGATATGTTGGATTTAAGCTACGACTGGAGTCCTTTAGTTTCATCTTACAAATTTATTTTGTTTATTAATGCCTGTAACATCTTAAAAAAATAATCATACCCATCCCTATGTAGCAACATTTGCATAATGCCAAATATCACTGATGAAATTAATCTAGCAGTGTGTTTCCACCAACTTTGATGGTTCATTACACATAGCAATCTATGCATTTTTTCGGTTTTGGAATTCAAATTACCAGCGGTTGCCAGGCAAGATACGCCCACATTTTTGCAAGAGATGAAAGGAGAACAACCTTAAAAAAAAAAGCGATTTTTTGTACAAACAAGGGCCATTATCCAGGCAGTTATGGTCTGAAATGCGCGAAAACCGAAAGGGACTGAGATATTTGGGATATAAAGATATAGTTTAATTTTCATCAAAATTGGATAAAAATTGTGACTTCTTGAGGGTCCAAAACCTTTGTATCACATACAAGGAGTACAAGGAGCGGTCATTTTGTCAGGCAGTTTCGTTCCAATTATCACAAAATTTGAACACATTAGGGTGTAACGATCATACATTTAAACGCTTTTTTTAAAATCAGATAAAAATTATGACCTTGAGAGGGTCCACAAGCCAAAAACATGATTTTTTGTACAATCAGGGGGCATAATCCAGAAAGTTACGTTCGGATATGTGCGATTATCGAAAAGAAGCAAGATCTTTGTGATATAAACATAAATTTAAAAAGTTTCATCAAAATCAGATCAAAATTGTGAGCTCTAGAGGGTCCACAACCTTGATATATTTACATTATAAAGGGGTTGCCATTTCGTTTGGCAGTTTTGGTCCAATTTTCACAAAATTCGACCTCAACCAACATTACAGTGTAACGGTGATATATTCTAACATATTTTTTTTAATCGGATAATAATTGTGACCTCTAGATGGAGCACAAGCTAAAAACTTGATTTATCGTACAATCAGGGGCCATAATACAGGAAGTTACGAATGGATATGCGCAAATATCAAAACGCACCAAGATCTTTGGATTATAAACATGCATTGCAAGTTTCATCAAAATCAGATGAAAATTGTGACCTCTAGATTGTCAACAAGCTAAAAACATGATTTTTCAAACAATCAGGGGCTATAATCCATGAAGTTATAGTCCGATACATGCCAATATCGAGAGGAACCAAGATTTTTGAAAGATAGACCTATATTTTAAGTTTCGACAAATGTGACCTGTGGACAGACGCTACGACATAATAAACTAGAGCGTCCACAAGATTTTTTGAAGTGATCAAGGGCCATAACTCTGGCAGTAATTATCGGATAGGCTTCTTTGTCTCATGGCCTTAAACACTGTATAAATTTAAAGTCAATCGGATATTAACTTTAGCCTTTAGAGCGTCCACAATTGCTGGACGCCGGACGGGACGGACAGGGTCGACGACAATATACGACCACATTTCAATGTGGGCGCATAAAAACTACACAGAAAATAAAGTACGAGATAATTTAACTCGCGAAGAGAGGAAAGCCTTATCAAGTTTGAAGCATGACCCTAATATTATCATTGGTAAAGCTGATAAAGGCGGTGGTATTGTCATCTGGAATAAAGAAGACTATGTTAAAGAATGTATGAAACATCTAGAAGATAACTCTGTGTATGAGAAAGTCAGTGGAGACAATTCAAGCGAGATTCATGGACAATTGACAAAATTAGTGACTGGCCTTAAAATTCCGGAAAATGAACGGAAAGCTATCTTAGACAGACCTGTTGATAAACCAGCCCATTTCTACATTTTAGGAAAAGTTCATAAAGTTACTAATCCTATAGATATACAACAAGGAAGACCCATATGTAGCCAAGTTACAGCACCTACATGTACTCGTAAAGCTTCTTCTTGGCTTGACTGGAAATTACAACTGTGGCACCGCTTTACCGCCCTGAATTAGTTAAACATGCATTATGCAAGAGCAAAATCTGCTTATTACAAGTCTTTCTTCAGGCCTGAAATGTTATCTAAATTATCAATTAGACATTAATTAACTTATCCAGACCGTAATAAACTCTCGATGTCAAGGCTAGCCTTCGATGTTGGCTGGATTAGATTCTTATATGCCGCTAACGGCCGTTGATAATTAAATCAGAAAAAGTGGATAATCGAGACTATGCTGTTTATATTAATGATTTTAGTAATGATGACCGAGACTATGCAAAAATTTCACCCGCTTCTTTCTCGGCATATAGTAGATCAATTTGACTGAAATTTTCAGCAAATTACCTTTACACTACCGGGGTATCTAGTTTTTAACTATTATAGCGAGAACTGCCATCTCTTTATCTTATCTCCCATAATGTATCTTTAAAGACACCACTCAATTCCTTCAAAAGATAGAAGCTATAAACAGTGAATCTATTCCTAAGAATGGTAAGCTTATGACTCTTTGATGTTATCAGTTTATATCCAAATATTGTTATTTCTGAAGGTTTAGAAGCACTGCAACATGCATTACGTGAAACTAAAATTGTGACTAATGAAGATTCAGAATCAATTCTACAAATAGCAGATTTTGTTCTTCACAACAATGAATTTGAATTTTCTGGTATGTTTTTAGACAGATATCGGGAACTGCCATGGAAACTCTGTTTGCTGTGACATATGCTAACACTTATATGTCATACTGGATGAAAACCTATTATGAACCATTACCTAATAAACCAGATATTTCATACAGATTCATCGATGATATTTGGGCTTTATCTTCACTCCCACTAAAAGAATGTAATAATTTTGTTTCAAAATTAAACCAACAACATTCAAAGATCAAATTTACTGTAGATATAATTAGTAACTCAGTTAATTTCATAGATGTAAAAGTTGTCAAAGAAAAAGAAGGTTAGAGACAAATCTATATTCCAAGAAAACAGATTGCCATCATTATCTTCCTCGATCAAGTTGTCATCCCAAACACACCTTTAACGCTATCCCTTACAGTGGTGCTCTACGTATAAAATGGATTTGTAGTAAAGATAGCTGGACAAATCAAACCTAAAAAATTTTGGATCCTATCTTAAACAATCCGGATATCCGAAGAAAATTATTCTAAAGGCATTTAAACGAGCAGATCAGAAGACCAGGACTGAATTATTGACCTATCAATCCAAGACTGATACTACATGTAATGTGAACATTATTCCATGGACAACTACCTTTGACCATCGACAACCTCACCTTCACTAAATGATTAAAGTTTAGAGACTTTCAACTGTGCCAGTTCTTATGTTGTATATTGTTTAACATGTAAAACCTGTAGTATGCAATATGTAGGAAAACCATTATTCCATTCAGCACTCGACTTAATAAGCACAGAAGTAACATAAAGCTTAAAAAACATGCCCATTCCGACCATGTAGCCTCCCATTGTAATATACCTGGTCAGGATTTCGTGTGTACCATAGTACAAAAAATTCCTGATAAAGATCAGAAAAAATTGAACACAGCAGAAAGTCTATGGATTCATACATGTAGACTTGATTCAGTTTGGCCTGACGGTTTAAATGAGTTAAATCCAGGGGGTTTCAAAATCATTCATAATCATGCATAATTTTTCCTTACTTGTAAAACTTTACCTAAGTTTTAGTTAAGCTAACCTTTCATGTTATGTATCTAATTTTATGACGTCATCATTCCCACCATGTCATAACTTCCTATGATGTCATAACTGACTTCCAGTCATTTTGTATTAGTTCTTTATCCCTGAAGAAGTTAGTATTTTTACTGATGAAACGTTGGATAAAACAATGTTTTTTTGATATTGTATTCTATTAATTAATATCAACTTATCTGAATATCAAATGCATCATTTTTGAGTCAAAATTGATCCCATCAAACCGTCTGTATTTGGTTTGTGTTTCCTGTTTCTATTGATTGGAAGTTTCACATGAAAATGTGGGCGTATAAAAATGTCTACCTAGCAAATGCTTGACTACTTCAATTTAAAAGTAACACAATGTAATTGGCCACAGTTTAATTTAAATTCTTAAACATACATTATGCAAGAGCTAAATCTGCCTATTGCAGGTCTTTCTTTAGGCCTGAAATGTTATCTTAATTATTAATTAGACATTAATTAACTTATCCAGACCATAATCAACTCTCGATGGCATCGCTAGCCTGAGATCGTAAGTGGATTGTGAGCCGATTTACTGCATAACTTTCCTTCTCGATTTAACGATTAAATGGATAATCTAGATTATGCTGTTTATCGTACTGACTTTAGTAATGATGACCGAGGCGAGGCAGAACTTTCATTCACTTAGTGGTTCATAGTGGATCAATTTGAATGAAATTTTCAGCAAATTGCTTTTACGTTATCTAGTTTTTAATTATTATTCATAGTGAGAACTGCCAACTCGTTATCGAATCTCCCATAATGTATCTTTAAGCTAGTCATAAAACTTTTCACATATTTTATAGATTATAAATAAGGTTTTATGTATTAGGACAGCATAAAGCAATCAGGTCAATAATTAGGATTTTAGAAATAGATAATAGGCAATTGCTACCTTTTTAACATAATTGTCTCACCCCCTTCTTCATGTGAACAGATCGAAGTTCTCACTAGTCACTAGCTACATAAATTTGCCGAAAATGTAAATTTGCTTTTGCAGGACAGAAATAACGGTTGGTTATGTGGACTAAAAATGAGAACATATTGCAAATCCAACTTAAAAACAGACATCAAATCATGAAAAACTAGGTTACTTTTTGTAAATACAAGAACTGAATTGAAAAGATTTTAGCTGTGTTCAAAGCTGGGAAGTGGATATATGTATACATATTTTGAGAAACAAGATCTTCTGATTTTTACTTCAGAAACAGTATTGTGTTTTGTAATACATATGGTGGAGCCAGTAGTGAAGTATTTGCTAATATCTTTTTAATGTACAAAAAGTATTGATTAAAAGTTCATAATTTAAACTTACAACATGCAAATTTCACTTATTTAAGTTCTAACAAAGAAATGCTTATCACAAACTTAAACCTGCATCATTTATTCTACTTTTTAATACATCGAAAAGTTGGAAAAAAGCAGACCATACAGTATTTGATTTCTACCACCAAAAGTCATTATTTGTATTAAAAGATCTTGAAGCTCCATCTCGAATAGCCTCTTCGTAAGATGGTGGAGGATCTTCATCATATAATGGTGGTGATTCTACATAAGAATGTAGTTGAATATTTCTGGAATAACAATAGCAGGTATTAAATTAAAAACAATAATAATACATACAAAACATTATGTATTGGGCCATATTTCAGTGTATGGGCCCCGGGAAAGTAATGGTAGTAATGTGAGTCAATTTGTTCTTGGATCATAACTAAATCTGGCCCAAGATAGCCATCACACCATTTCTGAAAGCAGACATGAATACATGTATCTATCTAGAAATCATAGTAAATCTTATGTCCCTCAGTTAGTCAGTCAGTCAATTATTAGTATGGAACATCTGAAATCTGATTAAATACTGATTTTTGTTTTGTTTCGTTTTTTATACTTTTAATGGCCTGCACTACGTGAAGATCTGACCGGTTGTAGTGGAGGGTCATGTAAGGGGTAATATGTGTGGCTTTTGACCCTATGACGTCAGATGTTTGATTAACCAATCAGCGTTGATGTTTCTAGTGGGATAGCCACAGTTCTGTGCACCGCACGCCAAGAACTTGCCGTAACAGACCGTTTCATTGGCTAATCCCTCACATCAACTAGAACAAGGGTTATATAACAATTCTTCCAGATTCTAGTGTAGTAAAGACAAATAAAACAAAATATTGAACTTTTAAAAAAACAATCGAAATAGGATCTGTATTTTAATCAGATTGATTAAATTTGAATCAGACATAACTTTCTGGATTATGGCCTCTGGCAAAATGTGGGTGTACCGTATCTTGCTTGGCAACTGCTGGTATTAAATTTCTTGCAAACTTTCTCATAATCGAGCGAACAAGCCGCCATATTGTTGTGAATGTATATGTAAACAATCAGGCTAAGAAGACTGGTTTGTAAGCTGATTGGTTCGTAGCATCAAGCTAGATCAAGGACAGATAATTTGAATATGTGAATACCCCATGGATGAATCCAGGGGAGTAAAATGGAATGAGACCAGTGGGGATACCGAGAATAAGCTATCAGTAAAAGCATACTTTCGTGGTTTGGGGACCAAAGCCACGAAAAATGTTTTGCATAATTTCTACTTTCAGTCAAGAAACTACATGGTAAACTCGTACATTCTTCAAATTAAAGTTATCGAAAGTCATGTAATGTCATAATAAAGACGGGGGGGTTGGATGGCTGAATGGTTAGCGTGCACGCGCTGTATCATACAGTCTGTCATTGAGTCGACTGGCGTGGTTACGAATCCCCGGTTGTACATGTACGTGGCAAGGAGTAGGGTCGCCTGTCCAACCTCGTGGGTTTTCTCCGGGTCCTCCGGTTTCCTCCTACGCGCAAGCGAATTATTGAAATAAAATTAAACCATATGTTAGTCCCGAAATGACCTAGTTTGTGTCGAGTGGACGTTAAACCCCATCTCTCTCTCTCTCTCTCTCATAATAAAGACTGTTTTCAGTGAGTTAATTTTCTAGATGTGTATTCAGCAACTTGGTTGGCTTTAAAATTGTAATAACAGTGCAAAGCTAACATTACATAGTTATGTTATTCATGTAGCTTCTTCTTGCAGTAGTGGCCAAGTGAGTAAGATGCTGGCCAACTAATCAGGAGGTTGGGGTTTGATCCCGATGTTGGTCAAGAAAGTCCAGAAACTTTCCAGCATGGTTTCCCTCTTGTCAGTGTTCCAGAACGGAGGGCCTGGCAAAGACAGTGTCTAGTCAGTTGGAAAGTACGAAAAACCAAGGTCCCTTGTACAGGTTTGAGTGCATGTAAAAGAACCTCTGACTGTTGGAATAGATAAGAGTAGGCAGTCGTAGCACTGCTGTCCAGGCAAAAGCTTATACTTACAAATCATTTAGAATTTCTTCAATTTGACTTCCTGATGAAGATATGGTCAAGCTATCTGTGGTGCTGCTTGAAGTTGAACTAAATGTTTGTGTACCACACCCATGATTGTTTAATTCTGTATTAAGGAATGACTCTGGCTGCGCAAACTGATGCAAATGATTTTCTAACCAGCAGTCTTGGGAGAAATTTTCAACACCATCACGCAAAAAAGAAATATAATTCACATTAGGCAAACATTTTGGTCTAAAACTACCAAAGCTAAAATGGCTGATGTCCACATTTTGGCCAGTGAATAATGCGAAATTATTATCATATGTTACACTGTTTGTGGGCCGCCAAAATCTCTGTACCATTCGACGCCAGAAACCCATTATTGGTATTTCTTTATCATCATAATGCCAATCACATGAAGATTAAATCTATAAGTAAAATAAATATAAAAAGCTTAAAGATACATTATGTAAGATTTAGATTATTATATGCGTTACGACCCATTTGTGTCAATTTCTAGGTTCAAAATATTAGCAATTTAGCTGCTTTAAGTTACTCTTCTTCATTTAATGACATTCAATTGAATTGTGACTGAATGACTGAAATGCGGTACTGCCACTCATACTGGAGAGCCATATATATTGGCTCGCTTAGTCGCTAGCAAATGCCAAATAGGTGGCGTGTTCAATCACTGCATTGGCCGAGTGTGGTACTGCCTGATGCCGGTATCAAACTATTTGTACAATCGTCTCGTTATGACAGGAACCAACCGGAAGTAAATAACACCGGTTAGATTAGTTACTTTAGAAACGAATTGTATCGACTTAAAGTAGCTAAGTCCGTAACTCAATATCATTCAAAATCTTCGACATTGAAAACACAATTTTTTTGCAATTTAAATCAGCATTGGTGTTGTGAGCTTACCTGGAAAAGATGGGCTTCTGATATCCAATATTTAAGACAAAATAAACATTTCACCATTGGTACACGAATGTACCATAATCATAATGCGTTTCAGCGCCATTTGTAACAAGGTGCTCAAAGAATGAGACTAGACATATTCCACAAGTCATGTCCAACGGTGATAACATATTCTTATTTGGAGAGCATGCGCAATAAATAATATCGGTGTTGACTGGAATAACCAGACGCTAGAAACTGACTTGCGTCTGAGACTTCTGGCGTATTTCGCCGAACATAACTGATGACAATTCACAGTAAAACAGACACGATTGAATGTAAAACAGTTTACATAAATTCATATTACATTACTGTATGTGTTGCGACTCATTTGTGGCAATTTCTAGGTCTAAAATATTTGGGACCTAGAAATTCACAAAAGTGGGTCGCAACGCATATAATACTGTAATATGAATTTATATAAACTGATTTACATTCAATGGTTTCCGTTTTTACTCCAATTTCAAATCAGTTATGTTCGGCGAAATAAGTCAGCAATCTCAATCGAGTGCAAATTTCTAGCGTCTAGTTATTCTAGTCTACATAACTCCATTTGATTTGGTGCAATGTGTCTAGCCTCGTCCCTCGAGTCTCTCAATACAACTGGGGCTGAAGCGCATTATGGTACCGGGCCCGTATCTAGACACCATTAAGCGGGGGGGCATTACCTTTCGGTAGGGGGGCGAACATTTTGAGGAAATTTTCGGAAAGGTCATTCTAACAGACTGTTGTAATCATCATGCTATGTAGTTACCTAGGTGTCTAATAAGCATTTTAAAATAAGTAGACTATTCAAACAAACAAAAAAAACGTGATTTTTTAAATTTATTTAAAACTATTTTAGATTAGTACCAAAAAAATGGTTTATAAAGTAATGAGATACCATGGGATTATGCGCATAGTCGCCAGAATTATACCTCCTCCTGCTTAGGGAAGTGTATTTTTTTTTAGGTTAATATAAGGAACTGTGTATACTTTAATGATTGTTAGCAATTTCTGAGCGCCCCCCTGTAGATACGGGCCCGTATCATACACGATTCGTGTACCAATGTTAAAAAAATTATTTTATCTTAAATATCGGATATCAGAAGCTCATCTTTTCCCGGTAAGTTTACATCATCAATGTTGATTTAAATTGACCAATAATTCGTGTTTTCGATGTCGAAGATTTTGGAGGATTTTGAGTTACGGACTTAGATCTAGGTCCTTTAAGTAAGTTACTGCCGCATAAGAAACAACTTATTAAATAAGGCTTTCCCCTCATCTAGGTTCCAAGGCTATTTTGGAATCCTTACCTTCTATTTTTCACCATGATTCTTCTTTGATCGCCAAAAGGAATCATTTCTTGCCACATCCAACACAAATTTATAAAAATCCAACACTATTTTCATGTAGAATTGTGCGATACAAAAACACAAACAACTTTCATTTGAATTGGTCCGCCATATTATCAAACTCACTCTCAGCCAATATTCCAAATTTAGGAATGGAATTTTACCGTAAACGAATATTCTAGGCCTGCGACCAAAATTTCTAGCGTGAAGTTCCGCTACAGGGTCCTCCCAAATAAACAAACTATACATTTTTGGAAAGCTTATAACACCAGGAACACAAATCCAGCCAAGCAAAAAGTCTGCACTAACTTGATTTAGGGCCAGATGAAAATTGTGATAATTGTCAAGTAAATGCTATATTTATACATGTACTAATAATTGTGAGGTTGACATAAAATTAAATATTGACGAAAACAGCCGATGCCTTCATCCTATGCAAGGAATATGCTGTTGGTTAAATTTTGATTTAAAGCAAAATGCAGAAAACATAATGGACAGGGAAACATACAGAATTTCGGAAATCCATTAACGGTAATAGAGAGTTGTCTCCCTTTCTGTCAAATGTCTGCAATTTGTAACAGTACTGCAGGTACGTGTTGACTGCTGATGCTGTATGACCTACAACAAAACCATGTGTGAGCACGACTGCTGACCACAATTAATTATGAGCCGATATCCATGAAACTTACAGAAACTTAATAATATCTCAGAGTAGCCAAAATTTCGACCACTTCCGGTTAGCAGTTTCCGAGATATCAGGTCACCACACATTTCATGTGGCACGGCTACAGACCGCAATTACCAACGGATTTCAATAAAACTTGCAGATTATAATCACATTAATAATATCTCAGAGTAAACAACGTTACGGCCACTTTTGGTTAGCGGTTTCCGAGATATCAGGTTAGCACACATTTCATGTTGCACGACTGCAGACTAAAATTATCAACCGATATCCAGGAAACTTACAGAATATGATAACATTAATAATATCTCAGAGTAGCCAAAATTTAGACCACTTCCGGTTAGTGGTTTCCGAGATATCAGCTAGGTTACCACACATTTCATGTGGCACGGCTACATACTGCAATTACCAACCGATTTCAATGAAACTTGTAGATTATAATTACATTATTAATATCTCAGAGCAGGCAAAGTTTCGGCCACTTCCGGTTAGCAGTTTCCAAGATATCAGTTTACCACACATTTCATACGTGGCACGACTGCAGACTACACTTATCAACCGATATCCATGAAGCTTACAGAATATGATAACATTAGTAATATCTCCGAGTAGCCAAAATGTTGACCACTTCCGGTTAGTGGTTTCCGAGATATCAGGTTACCACACGTTTCATGTGGCACGACTGCAGACCGCAATTATGAAGCGATATCCACGACACTTAGAGAATATTATGATGAAATTAATAATATCTCAGAGTAGCCAAAATTTCGACCACTTCCGGTAAATGGTTTCCGAGATATCAAATTACCACACATTTCATGAGGCACTACTGCAGACCGCAAATATTAACCGATTTCAATGAAACTTGCAGATTATAAAGTAGGCAAAGTTTCGGCCACTTCCGGTTAGCGGTTTCCGAGATATCAGGTTACCACGTACATATTGCATTGGCACGGCTACAGACCGCAATTACCAACCGATTTCAATGACACTTGCAGATTATGATTACAACAATAAGATCTCAGAATAGGCAAATATTCGACCACTTCCGGTTAGCAATTTTCGAGATATCAAGTTACCACACAATTCATTTGGCACTGCTATACAGACCGCAATTACCAACCGATTTCAATGAAACTTGCGGATTATGGTTACATTAATAATATCCCAGAGTAGGCAAAGTTTCCGCCACTTTGCGGTAACCGAAAGCGGTTTCCGAGGTATCAGGTTACCACACATTTCATTTAATTGGCACGATCTGCAGACCGCAATTATCAACCAATATCCATAAAACTTACAGAATCTGATAACTTTAATAATATCACAGACAGTAGCCAAAATTTCAACCACTTCCGCAAAGCGCTTTCCGAAATTTTAGGTTACCCCACATTTCATCATCTTCGCAAAGTAGAGAGCAGTCAGTCGCAACAATTCGTTACTATAAGTAAATATGATTGTCTTAAAATGTTATTTTCTAATATACAGGTAACAATTATTTTCGTGAAAATTAGGTTTTTGTTGGCGCTAGAAATATGTTTGCTAACTTCGTTTCGAATCCGGGTGCTGAAATAAGCTTTAAAAAAACCAACAAAAATGTTTTGTTGTATTGAGTATTGACCCCTGCATTTACGACTAAATCTATTTGTTAAGGCCAGCTCAATTTTCGTCAAGGTCGTTGAGATGTTAGGGCACGTGATTGTTGGCGAGATTGCAGGTTAGGGTTAGGGTAAGCATTAGGGCTAGGTCCGGGGTTAGGGTTGGGATTAGCGCTAGCACTGATTACATCTTGCGACCCTCGACCAAACTTCATAGATATAGATCCTGGCTTTCACGACATCCGCTCTCTAGTATTTCGGTTATCCAGTCTTTATAATTGCCTTACATCTATCATACTAAGAAAACGAGCCTACATTTTACCGTAAAGCGGCAAGTATAAACACGCTCAGAAAAATGTTTTGGTCAATTAATATTAAAGGTTAGTCTTATTTTTCTGAATTAATATTGAAATGACTGTTGTAAATACGTTTTTCTTATGATAGCTTATTATAACGTACATGTACTTCCAGGCAAGGCGACGGGATAACAGGATAAATACCTCTAGATTTACTCTCACTGACTGAAGGTATCGCTCGAGTCCCTTAGACTTTAGAGTTTAGAGATCAGTCATGATTATATTACTAATATATTATTAGCCTAACTATTACTATTAGCTTCGTGAATCAACGGTATTGACTGAGCTTAATAAACCATTTCATATTTGTATGCAGAACAACGATTGATTATTGTTATTATTTAATTGTGAATTAAGGTTTGTTATCTATTCATTTTCAGAGATTTTGGTCTCCCTTCATATCATGACATATGCCATGATATGGCCTCGAGGTTTTGGACTCGAGCAGGTGACATTTTGGTTTGGGTAGGTGACGTTTCGGGCTCGGGTAGGTGACGTTTCGGACTCGGAAATAAGTTGAAAGGAAAGGTTGAACACAACTCAACTGTCAGATCAATTTATAATAAGACAAAAACAATTTTATAAAAGTAACATGCAGGTAAAATTTACCGCTTGCCATCACATGTGGAGTTGTGGACCACGCACCGTAAAGACCTTAAAGTTACAATTTCATATTTTTAAGTTATATTTTAAAATTGTATTAAAATAAAGCCCTAAAATAGATGGTATCTATAAACAGCCCTACCTTCTTAAGGCCGTGTTGAATTGATTCCTTGTTTCTCCTGCCACCACTCTGGCAATCATGTGCGGTAGTGCGGTAAACACAACACAAAGTGGGTTTCAAAACACAAAGTGGTCTGGCATAATACCTATGTAGTCTGATGGTTGTGTACCATTTTTAATAATATTATAAATAATCTAGTTATATTATTGGTTAGAATAAAAACACAGATAATATTTATTTAATTAAATAAATTTAATAACAAACTAAAATTTGGTAACAAGTGGCTTCTTTGTTTAACTTTTTTAAAAAATGAAATAACCATATTTTGATATAAATTTTCCGTATTCTTGTGTTACAATACAATGGAAACATTCCAGTTAGACGAAATTTGATTCGCTTGTTGAGTTATAGATGGTTTCGACAAAATCATCGAACGTGAAAGTGCTGGGAATACACACACCAAAGTCGAGTCGAGATAAGTAAATTCGCGTACCGGTCGGCCTAATTTATTGATGTTCAAGGAAATAATAGTGGTCCCGTTTGTTCGTTAATTTATTGATGTTCAAGGAAATAATAGTGGTTCCGTTCGTTCGTTCGTTCGTTAAACTCCAGAAACGAACGAACGGGACCACTATTATTTCCTTGAACATCAATAAATTAGGCCGACCGGTACGCGAATTTACCTATGTCCCGGCATACCTCACCATTTTGTAAGGCGTGCGTTATTTATTACACAAGATATGATTGGGTAATACTTGAATAATAATGACATGTGTTATAATTTTAGCCAATGAAAAAATTGATTATTCAGGTTCCCGGTTGAATATTAGCGACTGTCTTACAGTTTATAATATGCTTTCTCATTAGCCGAAATGACTGCTACACGCGCCATTTTGCGGAATTCATCCAATCATATACAGTGTAACTTATTCCATAGTATGCGGGCCCCTACATGTGTATTATCAACCGGATCCATTCACTTGATTTGATATTTGTTTATTCGGTGCAATGCCTATTTTCTGTCTTGTCCGCAGGTTTATCTTGTAGATTTTTGTTTTGCGTGTAGTGCGGCCCCCCTGCACTTACTTATTTAGTTCGTAACGAGGAATAAACAACGAGAATTGACTTCTGATGTTTGGTAGAATTTTTTTTAGATGTTATTAACGTAATTTTTTGAATATTTTTTTTTGTGTTAAAAACGTAAGCGCACGATTTTCGGGGTCCTCGACCTAAGCGCGCGGGCGAGGAGAAACAAGGAATCAATTCAACACGGCCTAAAGAATAATCCTATTAATCCTATAATTCCTTATTGCCAGTTGAGAAATTGGCAAAAATATCATTTTCAACATCAAATTCAAACGTTTGAAGATAGCTATTCCATGGTGGGGAATAGGAAAACAAGGGAGGTAATTGTGTTATTATTTCCGGTGTGAAGAATGTTAAGTGTGAGAAAGATAACCTATGATCGTATAATAGTGAGTTGACAACCTATTGAGCAAAAGACATAGAAATAATTATGTTTTGACTTTCTTAGAAAATATGAAATAGTAACTTTAAGGAACGGCAAAATTTCCAAACGAAAAGAATGAATGTTTTATTTCTTTATGTCTGTAATATGTATATATAAAAAAAGTAGCTGATGAATTTATTAGAAATAGGCCAATTCAGAGAGAGAGAGAGAGAATTGGGGTTTAACGTCCACTCGACACAAACTAGGTCATTTCGGGACTAACATATGGTTTAATTTTATTTCAATAATTCGCTTGCGCGTAGGGGTCTTTAGCAGTGGGAGGAAACCGAAGGACCTGATACAGCGCGTACACGCTAACAATTCAGCCATCCAACCCCCCAGGCCAATTCAAAACACGAAAGAAAATATATGGTGTTTAGAAGGCTCCACCAAACGATAAAATATTAGTTGCACTTACGGTTCTTTATCATCATTTCCCGTAAAAGTAATATATTTTTTAAAAAAATAATATGCTGTTGTATTTATTTCAAAATGACACAAAAACTAAAGTAAATATTTACACGACATGCACTGTTTTTACAAGTCCCTATAAAGCATAAAGCAAATATGTGTTATATCAAATTGATTACAATTTGAAATTGACACAGAAAGTGACGTCATTTTGTCAAAAACTGTATTTCTATCCTTTAAAATAATATTTTTTCAAGTACATGTAATTATTATGAAAATTTTAACTTTCAGTTTTTCAATCAACAGATAAATAAAAAGAATACGGTCATATACATTGTACATAGATATCACAAAATCATTTCTTAACTTGTTCAGTTACGATTTCATAAAACTAATTAACATTTTCATAACCACTGGAAGTAATATCCTTTTGGCAAAAACTGTATTCTTATTCTTAGCCTCCAAAACAAATATTTGTTTGAACTTGAAGTAACCAATATTCATTATTCGTATAAAATTATGATATTTGATTTCAATGGACAAATAGTATGAATCAATACGATCATAATATAGATATCCAAAAAGTGTTTCTAACATCTTCCCTTGATGAGTAATAACCAATTTTGTCAGGATCACTTTTTAAGATTTTTCGCATATTGATAAAGTTTTATTAAGAGCTGATTCTGTTCAAATTTTAATCAATTTTCTGTCACGCAAATAACAATCGAAGTGGTTATTTCTGTAATCCAATTTAAATATTTTGTTGATAACGGAAGTAATGTCATTGTGCCGAGTCTTCGTTCTATAAATGGAACTGATATTGCTGGATTTATTGGCTAATTCTGTGTCCATTTTCTTACACGTTTGCAATCCTCGAGTGGAAATCTGTTTAACGTTTCCAGTGCTATGAGAAGTCAGATCAGTTCAAGGGTAACGTAGCGCTGGTGAAACCCGTCATTACTGCATTAGTAAAGAAATTAAGTTTGCCAGGTGAAACTAAAGGCACCCAATCGTAGCTAAAAACAAGCACATCAGTATATCTCAACGTTTTTACATGTAGCTACGTTCTCGTGGCTAATACTCTTGGTACTCAACAGTCAGACTCTCCTGTCAGATGGACATGTCTGGTGTATGTGGAATAAAAAAGAATTATTGATGTCATATTATAGACCGGAGGCTCAGTGCGGGAGGGGGGGGGAAGTGTCCATCAAATGGGCACAAAAACCAGACCCAACTTTTCTAGAGTAAAATTTTACGTAGAATACGATGCCGAGTGGTAATCAGTACGCCGTTGGGGCATTTTTCGAGATATTCGTGGTCAAAGGTCAAATGAGGTCATTTACACTGAAAATGAATTTGCAGGCTGGTGTTCAGCCATGAAACTATTCAATTGTTTATCACACAACTAGTTTCATTATGTACAGCATTTTTTCGTGATGCAAGAAAGGCTGCGCATTCACTTTCAGTGCAAATGACCTAATTTGACCTTTGACACCGAATATCTCGAAAACGCTCCCAAGGGCGTACTGGTTACCACTCTGCATCGTATTCTACGCAAAATTTTACTCTAGAAAAATTGGGTCTGGTTTTGTTGCCCATTTGATGGACACCCCTCCACACTGAGCCTTCAGAGTATTATGCAATGAATTTAAATCATTTTTTATATTTATTCATATCTAGATTTGATGATTTAATCAAGTGGATTTTACAACCCCAAAAACTATGGCAACGTCTTCATTAGATTTATCATCAACAGAGTTATCGCTAATTGATTGTGGTGTATCTGGTCTACTTGATCTTCCTCTCCAAAGTCATTTGCTGAGTCTCAATCTACATAGCAACTATATACAAAGATTGGAAAACCTAAACCGTCTTACATTGCTTCGTCATTTGGATTTATCCTCTAACCAAATAACCAAAATTGAAGGTCTTGATTCTCTGAAATCTTTAAGAACATTAAACTTGTCATGCAATTTAATTTGTGTTGTTGAAGGATTGTTTCAATTGAGGTATGTAAGCCTACATGTACATGCTTTGTTATTTTTTGAGATCACTGAGAGAACAAAGTAAAACTTTTACATGTATAAAGACCTACATGTACAATGTATTTTCTGAATGTTCAATGTAAAATAATTTTATACACCCACATTTTCATCTGGACGTATATTGTAGTTGCCCCTGTTCGTGCGTCCATCAGTGTATCTGTCTGTCAGTGTATTCGTCTGCCCATTCACATTTTGTTTGTTTTTTAAGCTTTATATTTCTTCTGTGCTTATTAACCTGGCCATTCCCCCCATGTAGCCCCCCATTTTAATATACCTGGTCATGATTTCATTGTGTACCATAGTACAAAAAATTCCTGATAAAGATCAGGAAAAGTTGAACACGGCAGAAAGTCTGTGAATTCATAGACTTGATTCAGTTTTGCCTAACGATTTAAATGTGTTAAATCCAGGAGGTTTCAAAATCATTCATAATCATGCATAATTTTCATTACTTGTAAATTTTTATCTTTATTATAATCTAACCTTTCATGTTATGTATCTAACTCCATAATGTCATCATTCCTATGATGTCATAACTTCCTGTGATGTCATTTACTGACTTCCAGTCATTTTGTATTTAATTTTTCATCCCTCAAGAAGTTAGTATTTTTAGTGACGAAACATTGGATAAAACAATGTTTTTTTTTAAATTTTTAGTGACGACACGTTGGATAAAACGATGTTTTTTTAATATTGTATTCTATTAATTATTTTTATATCACATTTTCATGTGGACGTATATTGTTGTCTGTCCGTCCACAATTTGTTTGTGGACACTCTACAGGTCACAATTTTTATCCGATTTTGACGAAACTTGAAATATAGGTCTATCTCCCAAAGATCTAGGTTTCTTTCGATATTGGAATGTATCAGACCATGACTTCATGGATTATGGCCCCTGATTGTACGAAAAATCACATTTTTAGCTTGTGGACACTCTAGAGGTCACAATTTTCATCTGATTTTGATGAAACTTGTAATGCATGTTTATAACCCAATTATCTTGGTTCCTGTCGATATTTATAGAAATCGTACTGTAACTTCCTGAATTATGCGCCCTGGTTATCTGATTTAAAAAAACGTTCGCATATATCACCGTTACACCGTAATATTAGTTGAGTTTGAATTTACGCAAATAGTGTAAACATCTGGTATATCAAGGTTGTGGGCACAATTTTGATCTGATTTTGATGAAACATGAAATTCATGTTTATAACACAAAGATCTTGGTTCCTTTCAATATTTGCACATATCGGATCGTAAATTCCAGAATTATGGCCCCCGATTGTACGAAAAATCACGTTTTTAGCTTGTGATCCCTCTAGAAGTTACAATTATTATCCGATATGAAAAACCATTCGAATATATCACCGTTACACCGTAATGTTGGTTGAAATCAATTTCGTGAAAATCGGACCAAAACTTCGGGACAAAATGGCCGCCTCTCTTACGCAAATAGTGTAAACATCAGGTATATCAAGGTTGTGGACCCTCTAGAGGTCACAATTTTGATCTAATTTTGATGGAACTTTTGATATTCGCGCATATCGGATTGTAACTTCCTGAATTATGGCCCCTTTTTAGCTTGTGGTTCCTGTAGAGGTCACAATTTTTATCTGATTTAATGAATTAATGAAAACGTGTGAATATATCAACGTTACACACTAAGATCTGGGTTCCTTTCGATAATCGCGCATATCCTAACGTAACTTCCTGATTTCGGAAAATGTGGACATATCTTGCCTGGCAGCCGTTGGTTATTCAATTTTAATGAAACTTGAAATGTATGAAATCACTTAACTTACTGGATTATGGTCCCTGATTGTTCGAAAAATCACGTTTTTAGCATGTGGAACCTCTAAAGGTCACAATATTAATCTGATTTAAAAAACCGTTTACATATATATCACCGTTACAAACTAATGACGCAAGCGAATTATTGAAATAAAATTAAACCATATGTTAGTCCCGAAATGACCTAGTTTGTGTCGAGTGGACGTTAAACCCCATTTCTCTCTCTCTCTTACAAACTAATGATGGTTGAGTTGGAATTGTCTGATAATTGGAATGAAACTGCTTGACAAAATGGCTGATACTTGTACGCAGATAGTGTAAAAGTATGTAATACCATGGTTGTGGACCCTCTAGAAGTCACATTTTTTATCCGATCTTAATGAAACTTAAATATATTTTTATATCGGACCATAACTTCCTGGATTATGGCCCCTGATTGTACAAAAAATCACATTTTTTGTTAGCTTGTTCTCTGTCCATCTCTTGCAAAATTTGGCCGTATCTTGCCTAGCAACTGCTTGTTAAGATACATGTAGATACAAAAGTATAAGACCATGCCATTAGTTTGCAAAGTTTTGAAGGAAATGCATTGATTGCAAGTGTAAAAAAGACACATTGTCTACACTGTCATCGGCCTACCAAAATAAAACTAATAGATTAGTAATTACACACATTGTCATTGACGTCACCTACTTGTAATTATTAACTTTGATCACAGAAGGAATCCTATTGATATTCAGTGTCTGATCCATCAATGTTACTTGTACACATATGTGGAGTTATTGGCCTTGCCATCACAACCTTGAACACACTCTTTAGAGAGTTATTGATTATTTTTTCCAAACTTGCTGAGATTAGATAGGTACATGTAGTCATAAGGAGGAGGCCAGTTTATGTGGAGTTAATGCCCTTGTCTGTGATTATTCAGGATCATGCTTTGATTTTCACTTTACCGGTATACCTGTAGCATCAAAGATAATTGGATACATAAAACACATACCTGATGTCAGTGGCAAATAGCTCATGTTTACACCTGCCTGCAGAAACATGTCATTATAGAGCTACATTTAATTGGTAATAGGGTAAGCAGTTGAAAATTTAATTTTTCAGGTCATTGGTGAAATTAAACTTGAGTTTTAATCAGATTGATGATGTCAGCGGTTTTAAGTTCATTTCTGGTTCAGGTTTTAAATTAGCACACATAGAACTACATGGTAACAGAATCCGTTCTGCTGTTAGATTTGCTCATAGTTTAAGTCAGTGTTCTAATCTACAAGATCTTGTTTTATCACAAGAAGGCTCTAGTAATCCAGTATGTCATCAAACAGGTTAGATATTTCTCCTTGTAATATTGATGTGTTGTCGGGAATTCGAAAAGCAATAAGTAATATTTTTGTTCACCTTTTTGGATTAAAGATCAGAACTGTTAGTGATACAAAAAATTTTCAGATCAAAACATATCCTGTTGTTGGGCATGTTGAAGGAATTTAGGAACAAACTACAATGCAGAAAGGATCGCTGCTCAGAAGAAATACTATAGAAACAACAAAAACATTTTTATGTTTCCACATGTCAGTGTGCGTCTGTAATTTGGTCACCAATAATTGGCTCGTTAATGCAATAGAGGCTACATGGTCAGTCTATATTTCGCTTTAAAGTAACTATGTCTCTAACTCAATATCATCCAAAATCTTCGACATTGAAAACACAATTTATTTGTCGGTTTGAATCAACATTTATGTTGTGATCTTACCAGGAAAAGTTGGCCTTCTGATATCCAATATTTAAGACAAAATAAACATTTTACAATTGGTACACGAATCGTGTACCATAATGCGTTTCAGCACTATTTGTAATAATAGAATCGAAAACAAGGCTAGGCATATTCCACAAGTCATGTCAAACGGTGATGCTATATTCTTATCTGGAGAGCAAGCCCAATAAATAATATTGGCGTAGACTGGAATAACCAGATGCTAGAGATTGAAATTCGATTGAGAATACTGGCGTATTTCGCCGAACCTAACTGATTAAAAATTACAGTAAAAACAGAAACGTTTGAATTTAAATCAATTTATATACATTCATATTACATTATTGTATGCGTTGCGACCCATTTGTGTCAATTTCTACATCCCAAATATTAGCGACTTAGCTCCTTTAAGTTTAAAATTATAGCTTATTGATAATGTGTTGTAATTTGTTTATTATTATACTCTAATTTGATATTTTCAGGCTATAGAAGTGATCTACTGTCTCGTTTACCACAGTTGAAATCATTAGATGGGCGTGATAAGTATGGACATATATCTGTTACTAAGGACATCATTGAAGATATACCAGGTGAAAATTGTTATCATTTTAGTTTAAAAATTTATTGAAACAAAAACAAGGGAGGACGTTTAAGTGCATGTAAAAGCCAAAACTTTTATTCAATTCTTTCAGAAAGCAGTAATATTGGGAGCCTATTAAATGTTAAGAGTATGAAATACTCCAGTCTTTTATGTGTTTCCAAAGCTCTTATTGTTAAAATAGGTACCGGGTACATGTACTATTTATTCTTCTAAACCTGATATTTGCTCTTCAATTGAATGATACAACAAAGGCCTTTTCAACACCGTCATTCTTCTGTAGCTTGTTCCTTGGTATCATTTAAAATTGTTTGAAATTAGAACACTGAGGTAATTTAACTATAGAATGGATTCTAATAATTAACATACAGAGTTGATTGGCAATTTGATTAAAATGATATCCTTTTTTGCTTGATTTTAATGATTTTGATTTTTAACATGGCAAGAGATCTAAAACATGTATATATATATATTCAGAACAGATGTTGTTCAAGATTGGAGTGAGGTTATGATAAGTTGATAATAAGGTCTTGGTATGATACTGATAGGAAGCATTGCGTTTTGACTGGATGTTCACATTGTGGAGTCTACACCAGGAAAGCTGTATCAAAATTTTCTTGTCAGGCATTTTTGGTTGGGTCACCAGAAGTTCAACTACAAAGATTGTTTATGTTATTGTTATGTAGCATATCATAAGGCAGTGATAATATTGAGTCTGATAAAAAAAAAAAAAATGAGTATAAAACGTAAATCTGTGGTTGATTATTGACTTGTGTGTTAACTTTTAACAAATACAAGAATTCAGATTTGTATATTTTTATACGCCCACATTTTCATGTAGAGGTCACAATTTGTATCCAATTTGTTTTAAACTTGAAACATATCTTTATATCCCAAAAATCTCAGTCCCTTTTGATATTTGCACATTTCAGGTCATAACTTTCTGGATTATTGCCCCTGATTGTACAAAAAATCGCGTTTGTTTTTAGCTTGTTCTCTATCCATCTCTTGCAAAATGTGGGCGTATCCTGCCTGTCAGCCGCTGGTTTAAAATAATGGTGGATTTTATATTTTTTTAGGTTTAGACGAATATATAGAATACCTGGATTCCACATCAACAACTGACACAGTAAGTGTTTGAAGAGTTCATTTGAAAATATAGATAAATATTTCTGTAAACAAATTAGATTATTTGAAATTTTTATACACTATTTGATTTGCGTTTAGAATGAATGATATTTTATGACAATGAGACATGCACTGAAGGTCCAAGTGTAAAATCTGGGTCAGTTTTGTTTTACAGATATTTGCACTACATTGTATTCTATCATCACAAGACTGTCATAATTCACCTTAAAATACAGATGTGACGTCATCCTTTGATGTTGGCGTACCATTATTTCAAATAATGGTACAGGCAAATTGCCAATGGACAGTACACTTCGAGCGGAAGTACTAAATTTCCCCGAGGTCCGACCTGGGCGGAAATGAAAAATCGCGGACGTCAGTTAATCAATCCGCTCTGGCCACGCTCAAAATTCCGCTCTAAATTTCCTCCACGAATTTAAATAAACCCCCGACTTCCGCAATTATTTTAAACCGCCGCCCACCGCAAAATTTTAAAAACAACTTTAACAACAAATTGTTACCATGTCGTATTCTTGTAAACAATACTTTTATTCTGAATTGTCAGTAAAGTAATCATTATCCAAAATAGTTGACCTCATTATTAAAGAACAATTACAATTGGGATGCGACCGATCTGGATTTTCACACAAAATAGGTGCCGTTATCATGGCTAAATTACGAACGGGCTACGATGAATAGCACCCCCACCCCCACCCCCTACAATATACATCATGTATTACCAGTAGGTTACAAGGGATTCTATTAATTTTATTTACGATAAAACTCGGATTGAAAAAATGTGGATAATTCAATTTTTGAATCGGTACAGACTTAAAGGTTGGCGTATGCACCGTGTGAAAAAAAATACTTAATCATCATATTCACAGTTGACATATTTTGTTAAAATCATTCGTTGAACCGGTGGTGATATTTTTTTTAATTTGGCACAAAAATCATCCCTTATATCGCACCGTGCCCCTTTAACTAATGCATGCTTTTTTGTTAGGCAATTTCCTTTGTACTCTTTGATGTGTTCTCTTTGATGTGAGTAATTGTCGCCTCAGTTACTATTAATAATCTAAATTCTGTCCGGACAAGATTCCATTCATAAGAACTTGTTGTTAGGTGTTTTGGTGCAAGTGTCTTCGATATGTTCACGTAAAAAATGAAAATTAATATTTGTTTCTGTGATAATTATTGGAAACCGAACAGGATTATTATTTAGGATATTTATCGTCTACTGTATAAATACCGTAGGCAGTTTGTACGTTCAAATAAAAAAGAAATATATTAAAGAGATGAAGGGACTATTTAAGACACAATATTTTTAAGTCATTTGCTGTCAACTGAAACGATTTGACATGTTGATCTGTTTTGCAATGTGCAAAATGGGGAATCTGTATCTTAAAGTCAAATACGAAACTGAAATAAGTAAACAGTCTTCCAGCTTCTATCCAATACATGACATTTAATTTTGGGGACATAAAATATATATTGAACGTTGGTTGCCGAATCGTCATTTTAATTGAATTATTGTTAAACTAAATATCGAGGAGAAAATATACGGACATTTTAGGAAATGAATGCAATTCATTGGTACACTTAAGTTATTTTTCAAAACGCAATTTGAAAAGAGTGTTAAGAATATATGAATTACCGGTGAACTAAAACGAATAATATACTCATGATATTGTCCCTTGTGACAATATGGACTAAATTACTCTGACTATTTTGAATCACTGTGGACCATAATCCGCCGCAAATTTTATGTTTCCATCGACTATAATCTGCTGGGAATTTCATATTTTTGCGGACAATAATCCTCCGCGAATTTTATATTTTCGAGGACTTTTTTCCTCCCAGAACCTCTCTAATTCCGCAGAGTGTATATGAGAAAAATGCCACGATTTTTGAGCGGAAAAAATGCCCACAAGGACTAATTTCATACTTCCGCTCGAAGTGTACTGTACATTATTTGTACTAGTAAAATACTGGACTCGCGTGAGGCATTTCATTGCAAAAGCACGTGCAGAGTGTCTGTATTTTAAGTTGTTTAATGGTCTTGAGCTTAAGACATTGCGTAATAAAAACACTCGGGCCTACGACCCTCTTGTTGTTACAATATATTACTTAATGTCTCGCTCTCTCCCATTAAACTATGCATAATACACAGGCTCAGCCCCATATACCAATACAGACAGTTTAATTAGTTATGTGGCCTGAATGCAAACCTTGAGTCAAATATATTTATATCAGATGTTTGTAGTAAACATAAGAAATGAATAAAACAGATTAAACATTTGGTTTTAATCAGGTTGAATCTAGGCTAATCTGAGAAAACAAATTTGTATTGGTTGGTTTGTATTGTCTATGGATATAAATCTATTTACTTACATGATAAGGTTCAAGAGCCACCTGTTATGGATCTTATTACCCCAAAAATAGATGAGGCTATGGAACAGTTTAAACGACGATGTCAAACATCTTACGATACTACTACTAGTATATCAGATGTAGATAGAAGTCCTTCACAAAGAAATATTCAACAGGTATTGCCAATTTAAGATTACTTCGATAAAAGCAGGTGACTATAAAGATGGATTTGTCTGAGTCTAGGTCTATTCATCCGTCTTTCAGTTCTTTGCAATTTTTGGGGTACAATAACTCTAATTGAACTAGATTGTTCAATCTAGAGTAAGTGCTTTTTTGGTGAATCCCTTGACAGAGTTAAATGATAAACATTTTCTGCTTCAGCTGAGCAGAGATAAGTAATTTCATTGGTCAATGCTTTGGGACACAATAACCTTGATTCTAATTACATGTAAGTATGAGAGATGAATCTTGGTGTATAGTTTCATTACATCATAACCTTGTTCGGTTATAAGATTTTTCTGCTGAGTTTAACAGATTGTTAAGCAATTTTAATGATTAAGATTTTGGAGCTTGATGAAATTGATTCAAATTGAGTGAGAGTGGATTATAATTAAATGGTTTCACTGACCAGTTGTTAGTTAAATTTAAATCTTAGTTGAATATAATCCTCGAATAGAAACCGAATACACTGAGAAACAGTCATTAATAATTCAATATGAATCTCCAATGCCGAATATAACACGTGACATCGGTTAGAATTAGGTGGATAAACCAGCGATGCTAGTTTTAGTTTTAAATAGCGTTTACCGTTTTGTTATTTTCTTTTATACACATGCTGACAGAGGCTTGATTTTTAAAATATTGTCATTATTATTATTGAAAACTGTATAGCATAGTCGTATGGAATTTAATTTTAAAGCCATTTCAATTATGGTTGTCACATGATCACTGTGCCGTGTGTCTATCATGGACGAATGAATAAAAACATTGTGTTATGAAGAAATACCATAGTGCCGTATCAATTTATATTCATCGAAAAATAAAAACAATACAGTAATTTATTCAGGAATATTACTGACACGAATTTCACCCCCCCTGTGGTGGAGGGGGTGATAAGAATATACCCTTCGTATTTCCTGCGTGTCGTAAGAGGCGACTCAAAGGATCCCTGTAATGGGGCAACGTGTTTGCCGTGCGTTGCGACCCGTATCGGTGGAGAGTGGAATCCTGGTAATTGAGTGGGGATTTGGCTTGCAAGCCTCTTCTCTACAACACATTGCTTCGGCCAACAATTCACCTAGACGGGAGTTCAGAGTGGCCCACTCTGATCAATCAGCTTTGGTCGTGTTTAGCTAACAGGTAGGCGCATCTTTTCCATTATTCTATTATGTATTCAGGCATCGATATTTCCGCGCACATGCGCACGGCATGCGCAGGCACATTTGCTTTAAAAAAACTTTTTTACAGGCACATTTTTAAAGATGTAGCCGCCCAGCACAAAGAAAAAATCGAAGAAAGCCGCCCAGTCGAATTTAAACCCCTTCGTCCTTCGCTGTACACAAATTCGGCGCTCGAAATTTACCACGGCAATTAAACGGCAAAGCCATGGTAAAAGCTGACGTACGCAAACCATGTCTGTCACGGCATAATTTATTTTTGTGTGCCGTAGTAGACCCTATCATCCCAAATTAGTTTAAAGAAAGATGTATTGGTATTTTGTTTATTTATACTTAGAAGATGTGTAGGCCTAGGTCTATTCATTTTACAATTATTCTACGGTCTTTATATGTGTTTATTTGCCGTAAATAGGTCACCCAGACCAATTTACGGCACTCCAATGTTAAAGGTTTGAATGTCGTAATTGTCCAACACGTGCCTGCAAATTTTTACGATGTTTCTTATTTTATTTCTTACCTGTGTTGATCGTGGATTTGCTACGGCCCAAGAGTAGGACTAGGAGGACGATGAGAGCTTTCTCAGTTTCTGCCTGACCTGATTCTCATTCCACCGTAATAATGATTAATAATAATATTCGTGAGACACGTACAACAACTTTACAAACAAGTCAAATAATACAACGTGTTTTAATTATCAATATCTACCTGTTGTCATAATTCGTTGTACTCAAATAAAACACAAACACCGTTTTAAGAATCGTTTTAATTTTTAATCTCAAAGTAATAAAGTAATATTGAAAAAGAACCCAACAAAACAACAAATACCGAAAGGTCCTCAACTTATCTATCCAGAGAAACAGAGTGAGGCGGGACAATTTTATGCTCGGTTGGGTGGTGTCAAAAAGTGTTTAGATCCCTGTATCATTGATTTAAATTAAGTGAATTTGGTAAAATTTGAATATATAAATGGAAATTTGATTTGCACTGAACCAAATACAAAAGGCAGCAGATGCTCTGAAAATACACCAAGAAGGTTTTAATTTTCATAAAAGACCACACACCCCTCCCCAAAAAATATTGGCCCTCGCTCCGCTCGCCAAATATATTTTAACACCACTCACCAAATCTTGGCTACATCCCTGTGTTTCAGTATGACCCTGCAGGCACATTTTCAAGTGTGTGCGCAGGCACACTCAACTTTTATAGAGCCCTGAATATATTTGTTGCAGTTCTACCTTTGTGTCCTACGTGCCTACTCTAAAGCACCGGCTTGGGTCAACTGGGTAGAGTAAAATTTTAAACCTTTACTTTATCTAGGTATATCCCTGTCTGTCCTCGTAGGGCGCATGCGCTGGATATCCGCGCAGTAGCCTGCATGGATATTGCAACCCTTTGGTGGTTGAAGAACAGGCAGGGATGAATCTTTTCAATCAATCAAATGGCTTCTCAAACCAAGAAGACTCGTGCTACCAAACGTATGTCGACCGAGGAATTAGAACCATTACCAATAAAAACTTCCCAAACCTGGCCTAGATTTCTGGTCATACAAAGTACTAACAATATCAATCTTAGTAAACCATCTCCTTTTTTGATTACTAAAGGTCTTGCTGGCTTGGCTGGTGAGCCCAAAAGCGTCAAGAAAATGAGAAATGGTACTTTCTTAGTGGAATGTGCTAAAGAATCACATGCTACTTCATTATTAAAATCAAAGACTTTAGCTAACATTCCTATCAAAGTTGCACCGCATAACTCTCTAAATTCATTAGGTCTCAGGATTTAGAAGGCAGCTGTGAGGAAGAGATGATTGAAAATCTCGCCTCACAAGGTGTTACATCTGTCAAATGTATTTCCATCAGACATAATGGTAACATTATCCAAACCAACACCTATATCCTAGGATAATTAAAGTTGGTTTTCTTGCCATTCCAGTTACCATTGCGTTGCTTTCATTGTCAACGCTTTGAACACAGTAAAAATGTGTGTAAGGGGAAAGCGATGTGTGCTCGATGTGGACAAGATGGTCACGAAAGTACATCTTGTCAACTCGACCACCATTGTATTAACTGCAAAGGGCCTCATTTTGGTTATTCTAGAGAGTCCCCAATATGGAAGAAAGAAAAACAAGTTTAGCAGGTGAAAACAGAAAAAACCCATACCATATCCTGAAGCAAGGAAGCTGGTAGAGGCTGCAACCCCAACATTTACAATGTCTTTTGCAAATGCAGTCAAGCCAAAGAACACTTCCATTGCTTGCCAAACACCTGCTGAATTTCCAGCCGAGACAGAAGATTCCTCGTCTAAACAAAAACCTATTGTTCCACCTAAACCTTTTAAATAAATCTCTCGGCACTCAGGCTGTTAATAAGTCTGGGGAGTCCGAGATAGAGGAGATTGTGCCACCAACTCCTCAACCAATTGGTGGAAATCCACCCAAAATAGATAACCGCAAGGGACGTTCTGATAAAGGCGTTCCTAGAAATTCTAAATTGGCTACCTTCCGTAGTAGGAAGGGTGACGAGGATCCTGTCGGGACCTTTGACAGGTTCGGGATACAGGTCAATCCAATGGATGTTGTTGTTGAAGTACATGACCCCAAACAACATCATAGAAGTCCTGTTAAACCTCCCTGAAAATGGCTAATTCCATTATTCAATGGAATTGTCGTGGTCTTAAACCAAATTTTAATGAAGTTCAAATCTTAATTAAAAAAATTAACCCCTTAGCTATTTGTTTACAAGAAACTTTTTTAAAGAATTCAGATGTCTTATCACTCAGACATTTTGTTGCCTATCACCATTTTGCTAATGATGATGGTAGAGCACACGGTGGTGTTTCCATTTTCCTTAATGGATACATTCCGCAGAGTAAAGTCGCCCTCAACTCGCCTTTACAGGCAGTTGCAGTTAGGGTGACTCTACATATTCCCATCAGACTTTGCTCTGTATATCTTCCACCAAGTTTACATCTGAACCCCAGAGATCTTGATGACCTTGTTGCGCAACTACCTCTCCCGTTTATAATTACGGGAGATTTCAATGGTCATCATTCACTCTGGGGTAGTCCGGATGATAACAACAGAGGTAAACAAATAGCGGACTTCATTAATATTAATAATTTGTGTTTATTAAATGACGACTCGCCTACTTATCTACATCCTGCCACAGGATTTTACATGGAGGGTAAATGAAGATCTGTGTGGTTGTGACTATTGTCGAAAATTGGATCGAGATTTGTGATCCGAATAGTTTTGTTTGCTATCCGAATACTATTCGGATAATTCAGAAATGTAAACATCTTGAACAGAATCACCCCAATATTTCATATACTCGTATTTGTTTATTTTTTTTTCAATATGTGTGTCATCCGCGTCCGGTGGGAAAATCGTACTTTCGTACTTACAGTAGCTGCATATTATGACTATCCATGATATCCCAAAAATCAATGAGGTGAAGAAATTTGTGTATCACTGCCCCTCTTATTCACAACCCTCCCACATTTCATTTTGCTCAATCAACTCGAATTTAAGTAAATAAAAACACGTCAAATTTATCCCACCAAGGTCAGTCGCTTCGTTGTGACGATCTAGTGTTATTCAACCAATCAGAAAGTGAGAATACATGTGACCTAGGTCGGTATGAATAAATTTCATTGCAGAAGTCTAAACTGAGTCCTGTGTCCCGTAAAGCAACGCAGGGAATGAATATTGTTTTTTATTTCGTTGCATTGCATTAACAATTTAATACTGAACAAACGATAGTGATAATACCAAATTAAACACT